AATTTCTGATAGTAACATCTCTTATGCTTAACCATTAGTCCATTTGCTATTCTAAACACTGACTTGTCCAGGCACACTTTTTTCCATAGCCCTACCTCAAAATGTCTGGTATACCCTGGTTGTCTCCCATCCAAGTAAAACCACCAGCCCCTACCCTATTTAGTTTCTGAAACAAGACCAAGGGTTCAAGATAGTATGGTAGTTTCCTGTTACTATGCTGGTACTTTTTGCACATCTATGGAGCCAAACCCCACCTCCAACTCCAACCCTAAGAATCATTCAATTGCTCCATGAAACTTCATCTAAGCTATCACTATCAGCAGTTTTTCTCTTTTGATCCTTCATTTCTATCCTGTTCATGGATGCTTACAGACTCAGGATTAATCCAAAAAGAAACAGGTTTTACTGCCTTTTCACATGTTGGATTATTTCTGAGATGGGTATGTTTCTGAACACAGACCAATTTCTGAAGCAGATGAGAAGCAAGAGGAGTCTGAGGCTGAACTGTGCAAAATCCTTGCCCCTGTGTTGCAGAAGATCTGGGTTGGAGCCAATACTGCTTTCCTAGACCAAAGACCTGAATGTATTCCATATTTTGCAATATTTGACCATTGAGTTCCAACACCAACACCCCATGTATTCATTCTGGAGGTATAAAAGCCAGAGAGAAATAAATGAAAACTTTGTCCTAAAGATTGTTCACGTTATTCCAAAGCAAAATAATTATTAAATTCAATATATATGTGTATAGATAGGTGGGTGTGACAGATCACACACACACACACACACGCACGCACACACACACACACACACACACACACACACACACACACACACACACACACACACAGTTTAAAAGTCTATTTTCATGTAACACATTTTACATTCAATATTCTAAAATGTATTTGTACCCATACCATTTTATTGGACTGAATAATTCATGTCATTTTGTACTACATTAAAAAGATTATCATATATCTTTATGAAACAAAACCAGATTACAGATTAATTGTTAAGAATGTGTTCACGTGTGTGTTTTTTATGTGACATGCTCTGACTATGGAATTGTCTGAAAACAAATCAGATTTTTTTTCAAGCAGTAGAAGCTAAGATAAGCCCTGGGCCACAATTCATCACATCCCACTGAAATCAACAAGTTTAAGAACAATTAATTCAGTTTTTGTTCCAATCCACAGCAAAGCACATGGTCTTAGACTACAAAAGATATCATTCATGTATGGTTGCAATGATGGAGAACATACTGGCTCTTCTATCAAACCACACCATAGTATCCGTTCCCTTTGTTTTCAATAAAATTCTCCTTTCTGCATTCACAGATTTTTCCAGTACATGGGTCAAGCCCTTTGAAACGCTAATGCTCATCTAAAGAGAAAGAGAAATGCTTGCATGATTTTTTTTAAAAAATGGGGTGGGAATACGATGCTAAATGGAAGTTGTTTGCATGCAGCAAATAGCAGCAGACTCCAGCCGTAATAAAAAGCTATCAATTAATTTTGTTGTAACTGTATGCACCTGTGAACAACTGTTTAATTAAAGAAGCAAACAGAAATCTCTCACAATAACGCTTCAAATTACTTTCATTTATGTGACTCAATTAGCTGGAGTGGATAAATACAATTGGAAGGCTGCCATGTGGACGTTCAAAAATAAAGAAAAGACACAACTGGGGAGACACAAAAGCAATGAAGAAGACACAGGCTGACAGACATGAATGGTTCTCTAACATCTTTCTCCTACAAACTGCTCTGCTGGAAAATAAATATATAGGGTGGAGCATGGCTGATGTACCAAGTGCAAAGTAACAACAGGCAGCTGTTACACGAGTGTTAATTGCCCAGAAAAAGACTGAAGTGGAATCATGCTAAAGTAGCAGGACTGGGCCAGATTTTGTAGCTTGGCAGAAATAAGGAGGAGGAGGAGGAGAAGGAAATGTTGTCAAGTCAATTCTGACTTTTGGCCACTCTTTTCAGGGTCTTCTGGGTATACAGTACTCAAGAAGAATTTACCATTTTATTCGCGAAGGCTTTCACGGCCAGGATCTAATGGTTGTTATGGGTTTTTCAGGCTCCTTGGCCGTGTTCTGAAGGTTGTTCTTCCTGACGTTTCGCCAGTCTCTGTGGTCGGCATCTTCAGAGGACAGCAACCTGTGCTCTGGTGTAGTTGGCTTGGGAAACAATCTTCAGAACACAGCCAAAGAGCCCGAAAAACCCAGAACAACCAATTTTCCATTTCTTTCTTGTGGGGACGCTCTGGGACCATGTCATGTGCTCAAGACCACACCAGCTGACTCGTCTCCTACATAGCATGGTAGAGAATCAAACTCCTGCCCTCTGGTACCCCAGCCAGGGAGCTCCTCTCACTGGATTGGCAGTAGAAACTTTTTTCAGCATTTACCATGGGCGAAAAAGGGGAGCAGCAGAGTAGCTCAAAAGATACAAAGGACGTTATAGTGCCTACCACTTCTCTTTCAGCCTTGTTGCCACTTCACAGCACTCGAGGCAACTGCTTCACCATGCCTGAAGGTTGAGCTGTCCTTATACACTACCACAGGACAAATCCACTGTGTCCACAGATGGTGCGACACAACAGCAGGATTGCAATACTATGGGCAATACTCAGTCATAGTCTCCGCTAATCAAAGTGTTTCTCCTCAGCACACAGGGTTGGGGGGTGTTGGAGCTACCCACCTTCTCATATGTGTGGTCTACTACTGCACTTAATGCCTGAAAAGTACTATATAATCCCTTCATTGTGGTGGTTCACACATGCCCCTGAATATTATGTACAGGAAAGAGTGCAGAAGAACATGTGGTTGAATCTTTGAATGCTACAGTCTAATAGGCCCTTCGTCTTCTTGGATCAGAGCAACTCAACTAGAAACAAACTCTTGGGGTGGAAGAGCTAGACGAACAGCAGCCAAGTACCCATTTGTATTTGCTGTCCCTGTGTGACATGTGAGCATCTCAGCCTGTCTGTTCCAGATATGACAGCCTCATTTGCATTATAAAGTACAGTGGTGCCTTGCTTTACAATTGCCCTGCATTACGACGAATCTGCTTTACGACGATCTTTTTGCGATCGCAATTGCGATCACAAAGCGATGGTCTAAATGGGGGAATTTCGCTTTGCAATGATCTGTTCCCGAAGCAGGATTCTTCACAAAACGATGATTTTTCAACAGCTGATCGGCGGTTTCAAAATGGCCACCGGGTAAATAAAATGCTTCCTGCTGTGTTTAGGGACAGATTCCTCGCTATACAGACAGAGAAAATGGCCACCATATGGAGAATCTTCGCTGGGCGGTGAGTTTTAAGCCCATTGGAACGCATTGAAAGGTTTTCAGTGTGTTTCTATTGGCTTTTTATTTTCGCTTTACAATGTTTTCGCTTAACGGTGATTTTCCTGGAATGGATTATCGCAGTTAAGTGAGGCACCACTGTATCTTCCTCCAATAGGTGCATACAGAGGAGTTGTCCACTGTTTCAGTCATTCTTTGAAAGGTTAGTAATGATTTTACTAAACATCAATTAAGACCCAGTGATTTCTGTCAATCCAGACAGGCTGATTATTTGCCATTCAACAAAAGATGCTTGAATGTAGTCTCCTGAAATCCAGGAAAACCGAACCTAAGCTCTCCCCTTTAGAGTTCTTTCACCACACAGTCTTGATGTGGCTAAGTGTCTGTTTTTAACATCTTATGTTTCTTTTCATTTTCAGATTTAATTCCAAGTTTATTCATCCCCAATTGTAATGGCAAGCATTGTGGCATGAATTTATTTTTAAGAGTGAATAACTCCATTCTGACTTTAACAATTGCTAATGAAGCTTTGTCAAAAGGCTGGGTCAACATGGTTGTTTGCATGATGTTCTGTTTTCAGAACACATTCATTCCACAAAGATGTTTCTATACCATTCTTTCTTTTTTCTTTTCTTTATGCAAACAAAGAAAGAAGAAAACAATAAATAAATAAATGAAACTTTGATGCCGTGTCAAGCTGTGATGGGATAAATTGTGTGCTTTTTTTTTTTTTTTTGATGTCTTGCATTTTCTTACTGGTCTTTATTATTTAAATGTCTTGTTAGAATTTCTATGAGAAGCCGAAGTACAGGGGAAATACCCAGATTGCTTGTAATACAGCCTGCACTTTGGCGTTTTTTATACTCCCGATATTACTTTTTGATTCATGTGGCAGATCGTCCGTTTTGAAGTTTTGATGCAGGTGCTTGAAACTGGAGTCGAATGAGCACTGTTATTTTCATTGTTTGGAAAACAAAAATGTACCTCTGATAATTTTTGTCTTTGATTACCACTTCTTCAAAGGGTTTTTTTAGCAGCATGAAAGCCTTTGAAATTTTCAGAATGAAAGAGACATGAGAGTTATTCTGTATGCACCAGATAAACAGATGTCTCAACTTTCAAACTAAACATAGAGGATGGAATCACAAGCTTCCTCCAAAATAACGAACTAGCACACAATGCACTGCATTTGACTAATATGCAGCAGGATAAATAATAATGCAGTGCAAATTTCACTTGTCTAAATATCTGCAGAATAACACCTCCAAGAACATCACAGTAATAACAAACAAAATATGATAAACTCCAAAGGAGGGGAGGGAAAGGGAGCATCTTCTGAGCAGAGCCTCATTACAGGAACACAAAAGTACACTTAGCGATGTGTTTGTAAGCAGCCGAGATGTTCCCAACTCTTGAGGTCTCAAGTTGTGACTTCCCAGATTAATAAATGTCAACTGCCATCCAAGCTTCTGGTGGATCTGATTCCATAATGGATTAGCACTCAGAAAGTTCTAAAAGAAATCCCACAAAGACTAATGAGAAGATTGTGTGGGGAAGAAAGATGAAAACATACACTTGAAAGGGTGATGAACAGAAGAGAAAACGTCACTGGAAATCTGGGTTCTTTGTAGCTCCTCTATCTAGCACGGGTCTCTGTTTGAAACAATGATCATAAAGCAGGGAACGGGAGCAGCAATTAAGGACAGAGACTGAAACAGCTTTGGAATTTCTACGGTGGATTCAAAAGAGGCTATTTCCTTTCTTCCTCCTCCAATGACCTCAGTGGGTGATAAAACTGTAACAGAAAGGAGAGACAAGGAAGATGCTTCTGAATTCACAAGACTCAAGATAGTCATAAAGATACACTCCCAATTTCCCCCCTCCTTCTGAGCCAAGAACAGGGCAGCAACATGCTGCAGCATATGATTTGCAATACAGAATATATAACTTACAACTTGTTGAGCAAAGTAGCTTAAACTATAGTGCAGAGGTGGCAAACCTCTGCCCTGACAAGCCCATAGAGGCTCTCCACCTAGCTCATGGAGGTCTGTGCACAAAACCCTATCTGAAATATCACATTCTCAAACCAGATAATGTCCCACAGCTTCTACTCTGAGGAGAAACTTTACTGTAATTGCTTATAAGATGAATAATGCCCTACTTGCTTTGGTTCCATGAAAGTGCAACTATTGTTAATAACTTGCATTTCAGTCACTAGCTTGTTGGGATTTTTTAGGTAAGGCTGCTGTGCTAAAACAGAGAAGCACTGTTTCAGAGCTGAATACTGAGATGTCACAGTCCTTATTTCAGTCAAGTTTCATCCCTTCTCAATGCTATTTACATTTTGTGACTGCCACAGTTGCCAGTGGGATGTTCTTGCCTAATGTGAGAAGCAGCCAAAGGCTGCCCAGTCTGACACTGGTTCATAGCAGGGGCAAAAAGGTGAAATAACTCACAACTCAGAATTATTCATTATAGATGAAGCAGACATCCAGTCTCATGGAGGCTTAAATGAAATCAAGTAGAATTCTTTCAAAAACGTCAACATTTCCTACTGTAGTGTCCACACATTCAGAAGGATGTCATGGTTGATGGAATCAAAAGCCCCTAAGACATCCAGCAGAACTGACATGGACACACTCCATCCCATCCAATTCCTGGGTAGATCATCCACCAAGGAAACTAAATCCAGGCCTGAAATCAGCCTGAAATATATCTATACACTCCATCACATCCAGGAACCTCTGAAGTTGCAAAGCTACCACAAATTCCAGAAACTTTCCCAAGAAAGGAATATTTGAATTGTTATTTTTGTCATGTGCTATCACGTTGCCTCTGACTTATGAATGAGTGATCTCCAGAATGTTGTGTCCTCAACAGCTCTGCTCAGCTCTTGTAAACTCAACGCTCTGGCTTCCTTTAGAAAGTCAATCAATCTCATATTTGGGCTTCCAATGTGGATTATCTTAGTCTGGATCTGCAGTAACATATCTTTGCACTAAATTATCTTTTCTAATTCCTTCATTGATGCCCTTTGAAGTCTCTGTCTTCTGATTTCTTGGCTGCAGCCATGTGGATTGATGATTGAACCAAGATATACCAAATCTTAAACAATTTCAGTTTCTTCATTGTCAGTGTTAAAGTTGCTTAGTTCTTCTGTAGTCATGATTTTTGTTGTCTTAATGTTCCCCTTGTCATTGAAGCTACCAACATGAATTTGACCCAACTCCAGGAGGCAGTGGAAGACAGAAGGGCCTGGCGTGCTCTGTTCCATGGGGTCACAAAGAGTCAGACACAACTAAACAACTAAACAACAACAATGTTCCCCTGCTGCCCTGCTTTGGCACTTTCTTCTTTCACCTTCAATAAAAGTCATTTTAAGTCATTGCTACTTTCTGCAAGTAACATGGTGCCAGCTGGATATCTTATATTATTGATGTTTCATCCAACCATTTTCCCTTCACCTTCATCTAAATTTAGTCCAACTAGATATGTTCTGCATACAGATTGAACAAGTAAGGGGATAAAATGCACCCTTGTCTGACATCTTTCCAATAGGAAACCATTCTGTTCCTCCATATTCTGTCCTACCAATAACTTCTTGCCCACAGTACATGCATCAGGACAATCAACTGCTGAGGCATACTCATTTCTTTCAGAACAGCCCATAGTTTTTCATGATCCACACAGTCAAAGACTTAGCTGTCATTTCTAAAATGTAGATTGATCTTCTTCTGAAATTTGTTAACTCGCTCTGATAGCCAATGGATATTTGCAATATGATCTTAAATGGCTCTTCCTTTTTGGAATCCAACTTAAACATCAGGCATTTTTCACTCCATACAACATTAACTGGACTGTTATCACCTGTAACAATAAACAATTTCTACTTGGTTCTTAAATGATATGTTGCCTGGACCCCTGGCATTAATAATGAACAAAGTTGATGTAGTCAGCTGGTGGCAGCTGAATGATACTTAGCTTGTGCCTTTGCTTGGTGAAACAACCAAGGGCCATGTGGGAACATGACAAATTGATGGCATAGTGGTCAGATCTGAAACAATCCAGTGTGAAATTGAATTTTCTTGAGTTTCAGGCTGCAGGTAAATCTTGCAGTCTGATCTGTTATGTATTTTTCTTCTATCTATAATACTGAACAAGTGCTATCCCAATTTGAAAAAATAGAAAATATAAGAAATATTAAAAATAAAACTGGCAGTGACAAGTGGTTGTGAGAGGCAGCCAGTGTGAGGGCGAGCCCATGCCTCAAATGCGATGAATTTGCAAAAAGGAATTGCCAAATTCCTATAAGTATACTGAAGACATAAACAGAAAAGATAAAAGGACTCCTTTGAAGAGGAATCCTATGATGAAGAGCCTGCAATTCTAGAAAGTACAGTGAAAGTTGCTTTGAAAGGACTGGGGGAAAATAATGGTAAGATATCAAGAGAACAATGTTAAGCTACAGAATCTGGCGCTGTCAAAATCCTAACAAAATATGCCAACAAATATGGAAAACAAAACGTTGGCCCACATACTGGATATGTTCCATATAATTCCAATTCTCAAGAAGGAAGATGACAAGCAGTGTAATAACTATAGCAGAATGATGTTCAAGGTGTTGCAACAAAGGCTTTTACCTTGTATGGAGTGAAAAGTATCTGTCCCACTCATTTAATACTGCCAACTCACTAGTAGTAAACCATGATGGCTACAATCAATTGCATCCACGTATTTTGCCATTTTTCCATTCCAAAGATCAATCAGGGCTTGAACAGGATCACCTGCCAAGATGACAGGACGTCTCCCCAAAGATGTAAAGAAACCACTTGGATTCTTTAGATTTCTGAGGCAGACCATCTTTATTGTAGAAGCTCTATGTTCCAGACAATTACTTCTTACAGTACTGTGTTGTTATGTTGTGTTATTTTATGTTTTGTTACATTATGTTATGTTATGTTATGTTATGATTGTAACTTAATGGCTGAAATCCATAGTAAGTTGCAACTACAGTAGGTTCATTAAATCAATGGAATTTATCGAGGAGTTGACATGCCAAATGCTTTCTTATTTGATTGACCTACAGCATACTACTGGATTTCACCAATGAAGAGAGGACATTATTCTTTTTTACCATGGAACTTGAGCCTTTTAGTTACTTCTAGAGTCATGGGTATGTGGCATCAGTTAACAGTGCTATATGCTTCCTCTGTTGTGCATAGGACAAGGGCAAGTGTGTGTGGTTTTGCCAACCAATAATGTGCAGCATGAAGATTTGTAAAACTATAATTAAAAATAACTGTTTTACTTACCTTTTAGAAACAGGAAACTAATAAGTTACACTGATAAAATGTAATTATAGTGGCAATTAAATACTTTGCAGTGACTTCCAATATTAAAAAAAATGGCAGTAAGCATGCAATAAGATCAATAGCAGCTAAGTGGAAACTGCTTGGCATCCTTTTATGATACCCAAAATCAACTGCTTGAGGTAACTGCATCACTCTGCCTAATGATAGGGTGAGCCATAGTGAGAGGATGTGCTTTGCACAAGACTACTTGACAATCTTTTGGGCTAAGCGAGGTTCTGAATGCAGGCTGTTCTGATTCCACTGTCATCTCCTGACTATTGCACTATCCTACTTTCTCTCTGGAATGACAGTCTGTACTTTCAAGATGCCTTAAATAAATTACCCAAAAAATCTGTACTCTCTGTATCAACAGAGCTGATAATGAATAACTGTGCATATAAATTCATATTTGTTGAAAATGAAACTATTATGTTGCCATAAAAATCAATGTTTGTTCAATTATTATCTTTGAGCAGTACAGTACATTGCAACACAGTTTCTCATTAGATTAAATCAAAACTGCTTCTAAATACCATTTCACCAGCTGTTACTGGATAAAGGGCAAAATGAACAGTTTGTAGCAGCAAACATAAAGATTTTTTGGCACACCTTCTTGCCAACATTACTTCAGCTGTGAGGGATGCTTATAAATACCTCTTGCAATTATTTTTTTTCATTTTAATGAAATCTTGGTAACAGTCCTATTACTGTTCTAGAATAAATGGCCCTATTCCTAGCAAAAGCAATCAGAAATTATAAAGAAATTCATAATAATTTCTCATAAATTTAATTTTCAGTGATTGATTGCCAAATACGAGTGTGCTGTTCATGGTTCTTTGTTTTTGTGTTTTTTTTGGGTGGAAGACTCCAGCTTCCTGAATTCTCTAAGAATTCCCCAGACAGAACACACTTACATTTCACTCACTTGGAACAAGGCTTTGGCCATTAAGGCTCTATAGTCCCCAAAACCTCCAATTCCTACAAAGTCCTAGGCCTCCCAGAAAGCATCAGAGCAGTTTCCTTTTTTTGTATAATAAAAATAGAAAACACAAGTCTCAGAAGCCTACAAGGTAGGCCCTGTTCCAGGTGAGTGAAACGTAGGTGCCATGTCCATGGGCTGAAACTCGCAAAATGCAGCTTGGAAAATTCTTAGGGAATTCTGTAAGTTGGAGTAAAAAAAAAATATGAATGCCCATGTTGTTATATGCCACCAAGTCACTTCCAACTGATAGCAACCCTACTGATAGCGATCTCCAAAATACCCTGTCCTCAACAGCCCTGCTCAGCTCTTGCAAATCCAAGCATGTAGGTTCCTTTAGAGAGTTAATCCATCTTGTATTGATTTTCCTCTTTTCCTGCTACATTAACATTTCCCAGCATGACTGTCTTTTCCCTAAGAATTCTGTCCTCTCATGATGTGCCCAAAGTAGGACAGTCTCAGTTTCATCATTTTTTGCCTCCAGGCACAGTTCAGGCTTGATTTATTCTAGTACTCACATGTCATCTTTTTGGCAGTCCAGGTTATCCACAAAACTCTCTACCAACACCATATTTCAAAGAAATCATTTTTTCCCCTTTCAGCTTTCTTTACTGTCCAGATTTCATACCCACACATGGTGATCAGGAATATAAGGCTGTGGATGGTCTTGGTCTCCAGTGACTAATCCTTACAATTGATGATCTTTTCTAATTCCTTCATTGCTACCATTTCTATGCTCATTCTTCTTGTGATTTCTTGGCTGCAATCTCCATTTGGATTGATGATTGAACCAATGTATACAAAATTTTCAACAATTTCAGTTTCTTAATTATGAACTTTGAAGTTGCTTAGTCCTTCTGCAGACTTTTTGTCTTCTTAATGTTCAACTTTCATCTTACACTTTCACTAAAAGTCATTTAAAGTCATTGCTGTTTTCTGCCAGTAAAATGGTGTCACCCTGGATATCTTAAAATACTGGTGTTTATTCCAACAATTTTTATTCTCCTTCATCTCCTTCTAATCCAACTTTCCATATGATTTGTTCTGCATACAGACTGATCAGGTAAGGAGATAAATTGCACCCCTATCTAAAATATTTCCCTATAGGAAACTATTCTGTCTGTGCATATTCTGTCCTAATTCTCAAGGTGTTGCAACAAAGGCTTTTACCTTATAAGGAGGAAGAAATGTCTGATGTTCAAACTGGATTTCAAAAAGGAAGAGGCACTTGAGATCATATTGCAAATATCTGCTGGCTACTGGAGTGCACCAAAGAATTTCAGAAGAAGCTCAGTCTCTGCTTTTTAGACTACAGAAAAGCCTTTGACTGTGCAGATCAGGAGAAGCTGTGGATTGTTTTAAAAGAAGGGATGTACCATGACACTTGCTTGTTCTGATGAACACACATTTCTAGTGCCAGATTTATGTTATCAACACTGCTGAAAGATAGATCAACTATGGGTTTAACTCTTTTTTTCAGTTTTCATCAAACATCAAGATAAGTGCAGTGAGTATTCTTCAATATTGTACTGTTTTTATTACAGTTAGTTTTCTTTTAGGTATGGGAAACATTTAGCATTGTGATTATTTGATTCTTTTCATGCTATAAACATCTCAGTTAAGTATCCAGCTGTTTAGTTTTCATTTTACACCCAAACCCAGTGACATATAGCTACATAATTAGTGTGTTCTGAAGGGATGAAGCTGCTGCCTTATATCAACTTAAACCGTTGGTCCATCTATAAGCTCAGAACTTTTCAGGACCAATTTACTATGAAAACAGTTCCAGGATCAAAAAATATAGTTAACATTAATTCCACTGGTCACATGTTTGTAGCATTATGGAATTCTAAAGTAAATAAAAACTATTATAGTTACTTTTGAAAGTGCAGAAGTAAAAACCAACCAAACAATGCAATCCCAGCACAAAGATAATCCGATTGGTTTAGGCACAACCCTCTTCTGCTTCTGATCTGCCAACAGAGCAATCTGTTGGCAGGGCCTCTTTGCTGGCTAAGATCTGGTAACAAGAAACCAAATGGTGGAGAATGGGTAGGATAAAAGAGAAATCAAATTACCCCAGATCCAAAGATCCCCTAGCCACAAAGTGACATAGTCACAAGGCTGACTCAAAGTTAGACTGGAGTAAATACATTCCAGGCTGGAAGAAAGTGGGATCAGCATAGTTTCAACTGCCCTAACAGTGGCTCAGCTCGTCCTTGGCCATTTGGGCTTGTTGGGATTGCACTGCAGCGTGTTAACTATTTACCTTTGAACTAGCTATTTAATACATTTACAATGGATTTTAAAATTTAAAGCACTGGGATATTTTTCAGCCAGATATGACTCTGTCAGAAGACAGCTCATGCTATTCTCATGCAGCTTACTCTGTCCCTTCCTAAGTGAGGTGGACACTGTTGTTGCATAAGACTCAGCCAAAAATAAGGAAGTTACATGCCACATTGGTTGGGGTATTCTGGGGAGCTGCAGTCCAAGAAAGACATTTTTCCCCATCTCTAGATTCCAATGCCAATGCAGTTGTCTCTTATAAATGGGACGGCATAGGTTCCCTCCTTTTAAATCCATGGACAACGGGTCACAGCTCAAAGAAATCATGCCAGTAGGAAGCTGGGAAAATAGACCCACTCATCATGTATTATATTGGAGTTCAGTAGTCCCATTATATAAGAAGGGAGATGGATCAAGGGCAGGATTACCTTTTGCTGTGAAGCATCAGAGGGTATCGTTTCAGATTTCCATTGACAACTCTTTCTACGGCGATGAAGGAGGTTCCATGCTGGAAGATCTGATCAAAGTAAAATTCTGTTAATAACAAGTCACAGCATTGTACTCCTTTGAGGAAATGTGCCATTTTGAGGTAACAAATTAACTAGTTGTAGATTGAGAGGGAAAAGTGCTGCTTTTCACATTATTCTTGCATTCTGCACAGCCAAAATGAATATCTCCATCACACTTGCTTTCCCCAAACTGTGACTTTCAAGCCACCTGCTTTCAAGGAACACATTCCATCCTGATTACTGATGACAAATCAGGAGAGAAATTTGTTCCCATTGTAATGTGAATCTATCCAAATCTCCCAAGGAGACAGAATTTCTTTTCTTTCTTTTCTTCTTCCTTCCTGAAGAGAACCCTACATGCTTCTTTTTAAAAATGTAGCCAGTTTCTTTATGATGTTTCAGTTTATTTTATCACTCTTTTTCTCCTGCTGGTGAAATTTAAATAAATATATTTAAATTATAAATATATAAATATATAAATATATAAATATATATATTGTGTACTTCACAGTTTGGGTGTTTTACTTGCTCTTGGCAGAAAATGGCAAAACTCTTCAAACTTCTCTGATTTTTCCATCCAGCATAGCTAGTGACCCTGCTGGATGAGGGATTCTTGAAGTTACAGACAAAGTGTATATATTCTAGGTATTGATTATTTTAACCTGCCCTGTGAAAATAGACACAAGGTGTGTGCAGATGCCTGGGGAATTCTTAGAGTTATGGTCCAGAACGTACATCTGCATACCCGTAGCAGACATTCTAAAGCAAGGATTGGGGACATATGGTCTTCCAGCTATTGTTGGACTGCAATTTGCATATTCTTCAGAATAAAAAAAATGGGTGCCTACATTTGATAGGCATTATTGTCAAACATCTGGACACCCATACATTCTTCCCTTAGAAGGAAGAGCTCGCTCTCTGTTTAATGTCCCCAGTCAGTCTACAAGACATAGATGATACCATGGCTGAAATCTTGTTGTTTTGTTATGCATGCAGAAGGGGAAAAGATTGATTCATAACTGGCAATTAACAAGCTGCTGCTGGAATTCTTGGGGACACCCCTGCCCACTGGCTTGGCAAATGCTCAAGAATCCCAGCTTGTTGATTGTTAGCTAGAAGCCACTGAACATTGCATTGTTTGCCTTCTTCATGAAGAAGAAGAAAGAAGAAATGTTTTATTACGGTCATTGACCAGCAAAATTAAGATACATTATTAAATTTGGGAACATAAAAACAATCTAAAAACATTAAAAATACTAAAACACCAAAGGACTAAAAACATCCATATACATATATATAAAACCACATTCAAACATCTTAGTAAATATCTCCTACTCACCTTCTTCATGTGTAACAAAGCAAAAGGATTTCAACTCGTATATCCTACAGGACAAGAAGGAATTGAGTGGTGCTGCTACAGTGTAGTGATGAAATCAAAATGTTACCCAGAGTTAGGGACATGGCAGAAATTCCTTTGGCTCACCATCTGATAAAAGCCAATCTAATTTGCATTTCCTGAACTAATATGCAAACTGGAGTTCCACTATCCTTCCATTCTGCAGGTCTTCACATTTTCTGATGCATTTATCTGACTTCAAAACTTGGAGACAGAGATTCAGACTGCAGAAACTCAAAGAGATTTGGCCATCCATACCTAGATTCCACTCGCACATCATTCATTACCATAGTATGAATTCTTCTTCCCAAGTTGCATTGTACGCAATGTATCATTTCCCCAAAATCTTCCTCTTAGCCTTTCCTCTGTCCTGTTCCAGCTCTAACACACCAAACTCTGCCATATGGATTGTTTGCTGCATTCAGGTATGCAAATACCTGAACAGTGCATCAACGCAAACATCAACAAAAGCAGCAGCAATCATTTAAGAGCATTCCTGTGTACTAGGAGATGCATAGAGACCTTTTTTAAAAAAAAAAGTTTATGATCCATAAAGTTTTTTTTAAAAAAAAACTTAAAACCCCAAATTATTTGATTCTTAAAGGAATAAAAGGAGAGACGACATCAACATGATGAAGCTTTTCAGAACTTAGAAACAACAATGAGAGTCCCCAGAGCAGAGTGGGTTGTGGATCAAATAATGGCATCTTTACCCCAATATTTGAGGGGGGGGGATCTCCCACTTCAGCCACAAGCCACCTAAGCTTGAGACATGTTGCCCTACCAAAGGGAAGAGATAAAATCCACTTGTATATTTTTATTATTTATCATATATTCAATTATTTGTTGTGCTTACTCCCAAAGAGCACAAGTTGGCTCAGATGTTTCTCCTCTCCAACTTTATCTACTGTATCTTCTGATTGGCTCAAGAGATGCCCAACTCCATCCCCGTGGCAATGCTGGATATGAGACTCTGGGGACTGTCAAAACAGTAACTTCTCCAAGCTCTGATTGAAAAGGCTGGGATAATTTTTCTTGTAAGCCTCGCTTTAAAAATACTCCAAGGCAGGCAGCAAGTGAGCCTTCCTAGAAAGAGAATGTCATAACTGGAAGAAATCACCAGGGCCCAGGATGCCCCTTGAAATCTCCTGGATGCCCCTTGAAATCTCAGCAAATTGCTATACTTGTTTGAGACTCCGGACAATATGCCAAATCACAAAGTCTATTGCACTCAAGTACAATTTCTGCATGTACTGTACAGTTGATTTAAAGCCTGGGCACTTGTCTTGATCATTTCCCAGCTAGGGGTGTATTGTTAGCTGGATAGATTTGTTTCCTGGTGATGACAGAGGTCTATGGCCTCTGTTCCAGTTTCAGCACAAAAGGATTACATGTACTGTACTTTCTGGAAGAAATGCTATCTACTGTATAGCTGATCTCAAGTGTCAGTGAAAGTCCTTTGCCAAAGGCCCTGAAAAGCCGCTTGTCAGAAAGGATGGTATTGAGTTAGTTACTAGATGGAACAAGAAGAATGAAAACAATGGCATTTTGAAATTACCCGTAGCTTAGTGGTGATAGGATGATACTCTGGGACCCAGAGCCTCATCCTACCAGAGCTCAGAATATCATAATAGCTTTCTGAATATCATTGCATGCTTTCTTCTTTGAAATAACATTCCAAGCCTTGCGTCTGACTCAGTATAGGGCACTTTCTTACCTGTGTATTGGTGCCACAAATAAATATGGAAACAAGGCTTCATTGTACCTGGAGTTTATTTGAAAATAAGCTTCGATTTTGTCCTCAGCATGAAGGCAAATAACTCATTCTACTTACACATTCAATGGCAATGAAAACACATCATGTAGCTTGCTCTGCTTTTCTATCTCAGAGCTTCTGAGATAGTCTAGAGTAAAGCACTTAAATATACAGCAGTGTAAGCACAACATATAAAAATTGCATTTCTAAATGGCGTCTTTGGTGGGCAGTAATCTCAGCATGCACCATGAGGAGCATAGTGACAAAAGGTGGCTCTAGGTCAACAGGGAAGTTATTTTGCATAGAGCATCATCTGCTGAAATGGAGATCACAGCCCAAGAGAGTTTGCAAACCGCAGACAAGATCAGGCATGTAAATTTTGGGATGGCCCCTTCCTGTTTCTAATCAGGAGCACTTTTCATTTTGCCACAACAGTTCAAAAGGGCAGAGGCAGAAGATGGGAAGGCCTTTGAAAAATAAAGCCATCCTGCTCAAATGATAATAAAGCTTGTCTTGCCACCTTTGGAATGCTGACGTTCATATCTTCTCAAAGGTCCCTGCCAGTACAGTACTGTCATTACAGCGCCTTTCACCTTCTGCATATCCACCCACTGAAGTTCCCCCAAGATAGCTTCTACACCAAGCATATTGCATTTCTACTGAAAAGGATGACTGGCAACAAAGACCTTGTGACTTCTCAAGGCCAGCTTGAAATGGATCCAATATCTTTTTATTGTTATTTCTTGCTGTCCTGTTCTTTTTCTTTGTTGCTCCTCTTAGACCATCAATTAAGCTTTCATATCACTTCCAGAAGTAGTGTGAGCATAATGATCTGGTAGATCTTCTAAAGATTAGCTGTGCAACAGACTGTATTTATCCACACCCAACAACACTTGGCAACAGTTTATATTCGAAACTATTCCTAAATGTTGTTGTTATATTTACAGCATATTTTCTCTCCAATAATTGTTTTGAGATATGTGGGGGGGGGAGGTTGCGTCATTTTATTATAATACTACTAACAAAGCTATGGGGATGAAAGAGCAGAAGGAAGTCAGCCAGGAGCATAGGCCAGGGAACCATATTTAGGCTGTGGTTTGAGAGTCGTAGATAGTATCTCCTTTACGTATAATACAGTATATTCCACAGAATTCTAAAGGGACTTTCATGGAGTAATATACATTTGATGCAATCTTCTTTCAACAGCAGTTTGTAGATCAGCCCAAGACAATATCATCAATATCCAAACTATGTGAGCTTCGTAAGTCATAACTGAAAGACATCAAAAGAACAGATCTGCAGAAATAGTTACTAGTTAGAAAAGGATTTGCTGAACTCTTGAGAAATGACCTTATATGGTTTGCCACTGGTGACCAGGATTTTGCCCCTTTTAGCAGTTACCACACTTTGTTTAATGGGAGACCAGTCCTGACCCAAACCTTCTTACTTCCCTGATGAACTACTTTCAAAAGTAACCCAATACAAGCTTTTAAATGAATCACAAAATAATTTATCTATTTTGTTGCTCAAAAAAGAACAAGAAGTATTGAACGCATAATATTCTTGCACTTTCCTTGAACACATACTTGAATTCACATATGTACTTATAACGGAACACAGCATATAGCCAACTGTGACTACTTTGTTAAATCATGCATTTGGTTGTTTCCATTTGTTCAGCATCAAAGGAGGCTGAAATCCAATTGAAAAGTTTCTTTAGACAGCCATTGTACGGGAACATGATGTCAATATTAATAAAGGCTGAATTTCCCCTTGGCTCACTTCTTACAGATAAGCTTTTCAATAATACACTGCTTGCACCAAAGGTCTGACGGGACTGGGAATAGTAAAAAAAACACTAATAAAAGAATGTTGAATGTTTTTATATTAAATTTCCCCACAGGCAAACTGAAAAGCCTACTTAGAGGACGCCAATCAACATGGCACTTATTAAATGTAACAAGAGTCCTGTTACAACAGATCTTTAAAGCCCCTGAAAACGAATTGGAAAATAAAGACAAAAGGCAATTACAAATGCATTTTTAGTTTCAAACTCTGGACACCTTACCTGATAACCAATAACATGGAACTGCATTGTTTGATCTTCAAAAACCAGCGTGTTTTTGTTTTGTTTTTTTATCAGCCTACAGCTATATTTGAATTCCACTTAGCTCTATCAGGGGACAATTTCATTCCTTCTATTCCTAGACGTCATCTTTAAATGGGAATGTCAGATCTGAGATAAGTTTATTTAGGATGAATGCAGTTTTCAAAAAAGTTGACAAAACACATTGCACACCATCTTATGATGTTTAGGGAATTTAATATCTGATTATTGGGACCTTGGGGCCCAGATATTCTTCTCATCCATCCTACCAGGACTCAGAAGAGGAGTAGAAAGGGAACAGAAAATATTCCAACATGAGGGATTTGGATTTTGGGACCATGGCCTATGCAAGATGGACTGCTGGAAGGTGATGGGTTGCACCTCACAAGGACTGGGAAGAATGTGTTTGGCCACAGCATGAAGAACTTCATCAGGAGGGTTTTCAACGGAATTGGAAAGGGGAGTGAGATGCAAGCATAGAAGTAAAGATAGAAGAAGCCTTATGCACAATAAGAGAAACAGAGCCTGTTTCCTATTATTGGGCCCTCTATAGGACACAATAATAGTATTCACAAAAATGTCACAAATCACACAATCTTAAGCATCTATATACTAATGGCAGGATTATTGGAACAAACAAGAAAAACTATAAATCTTAGTTCTGGGGGCAAAATGACAGGGATAACAGAAATTTGCTGGGATGACTCTCATGGCTGGAATACAGCAACTGAAGGGTATAAATTGTTCAAAAAGACCAGAAAGAACAGAAAGGGAGGTGGAGTCACAGTATAAATCAAAAATACATATTTTTGAAATGGTAGTAAGGGAAGCTCTGTGGGAAAGTGACAATGTTCCACTTGAGTCTTTGATTTCAAAGGGAACAAAAGCAGAGTGTAGCTGCATGTTGTACACTGGATTGTAGGAAAGCCAATTTTAATACACTCAGAAGTAAGGTCCCATGGCTGGAGATCCTAACAGGAAAAAGAGTCCAAAATGGGTGGAAGATTCTTTAAAAGGTGATTTTAGGAAAGCCAATTTTAATACACTCGGAAGTGAGGTCCCATGGCTGGAGATCCTAACAGGAAAAAGAGTCCAAAATGGGTGGAAGATTCTTTCAAAGGTAATTCTAAAGGCAGAATTACAAACAATTCTAAAAAGAAGAAAAGATGGAAGACTGAAAGAAATTAAAAAACACACAAAAAAATCTGAGGGAGAACCTGGAAAATAAACAAAGACACATACAGTGTAGGGAATGGAAGGAAAACTAGGCCACAAATGAAGAATACAGAGAAGTAGCAAAAATTGCAGGGATGGCATCAGGAAAGCAAAACGCAGAATGAGCTGAGGTTAGAAAGATAAACTTAAAGCAACAACAACAAAAGTATTCTTCAACTATGTGTGTCGCAAAAGACAAAGAAAAGAAATAATGGCTCGATTGGGGTGGAAAAATCAAATCAAAAGAAAAGGCAGAAGTACACAATTCCTACTTGGGCTCAGTCTTTTCCCAAAAAAACATTTTATGGCTCTGCAGGCAAATGTGAAGTACAAATGGAGGGGATGGGATTGCAGCTTGAAATAGATAAAACTAATAGCTTATTATTTTCAATGAGTTCAAATCTCCAGGGCCGGATGAACAGCATGCAAGTGTATTGAAGGAATTGGATGAAGAACTGCCAGAAGCACTGCTTATTATTTTATTGAAATCACAGAGGATGTGTAAAGTGCCAGATGATTGGAGAAGGGCTAAAGTTGTCTCTATTCTCAACTGGGGGCAAAGGCCATGGACTGTCCATGTGGCTCCAGGAGGCGGCCATTCTGGTTGTTCTCCTAGAAAACTCCAGTAAAGATGTTAGTTTGCATCGGGGGGGGGGATTTTGGGATTCTGGGTGAACTGGATCTAACCCAATGCTTGGCCTTTGTACCTGTTGTGGTAATCAATAAAGTTGTGGCCTTTTTCTTCCACTTAAGGGGTGTTGTGTGTTATTCATAGAACCAGGCCTGCTTAGCCATAGGTCAACAATACCTTATTACTTTGAATGAGCTGAGATTTCCAGGGCTGGATGAACTGCATCCAAGTGTATTGAAGAAACTGGCTGAAGAACTCTCAGAAGCTCTGTCTGTCTATTATTTATTTATTTATTTATTT